CATCGGTCTTCAAAGTGGATGAAGGTGGAGAGGGAACATATTAAACAACTAATGTCATTTTTGTTAATATTAATTATCTAAAGTGCTATGAAAGAAAAAATATATATGGCCAAGACAATATATAGCGTAGGGGAACCTAACCTGACCTGGTGGGCTACAAGAAGGTCAGCTCTAAGAACTGAAGCTTAAGCTGAGACCTGAAACCTACTTAGAAGTTTGGTTGCTCAAGTGGGGAGGAAAAAGCACATTGCAGGGAGGTACAAAAACAAAGACCCTGGGGCAGGAAGGCACCAGTGTGACAGAGAAGGTGGGTCAGATCATGGGAACAAGAGACAAAGTTGCCGACAGGTAGTCAGCACAGATGCTTGTAGGCCATTCAATGAATCCGGACACTCTCCTAAAGGCAATGGAAAGCCCTCCATGGGTTTTGAGAAGAGGAGTGACTTGATCAGATTTTCAAATTCCAAAAAAACCTCACTCTGATATATGCCAAACTCCTAAACATGACCTAGAACCCTTCACAGTCTCAGCCCCTTAACACTCAGCCATGCACTTTCGTGGTTCTTGCCTTTGTGTATGTTATTCCCCTTGCCTGGAAAGCATTCATTCATTCAACAGATAATTACAGACTTCCTCCGATGAGCCAAACTCCTTTTTAGGCACTGAGTTTCTGTTAGTGGATTAAGCTGATAAAAATCTCTGCTTTTTAGGAACTTATCTTTTATTGCCTATTATTTGGTTTTCCACTGGTGAACTGCTATTAAAACTTCCAGACCAACTCAATCTCCAGGCATTGTGTGGGTGAAGCATTCACTTTCCCTAGCTCACCTCCTGGCTATGAGGTGTGCAGTCTTCACTTTCCTCTGCTTACTTCCTGGCTAGGAGGACACCCTGATGGTCAGCACATCCTCACTTACTGCCACCATTTTGGCCTGAGAGCTCCTTAAAGGGAAAGAATTGTATTTACCTTTTCAACACACCCCAAGATCTAACAGGGTCTGATACGCATTAGAAGCACTGCAAATGCTTTTAAATAAATGAACCATCAAATATATAAATCCCCCAAATCAAGGTGATAAGATGCAGTGATAGAACATTCTTTCTTCCTGACCACACCTGAGCTGAAGAGTCAGGGTTAACAATGAGGGGAAGGGTACATAATTCAAACAGCCTACTTAGTCAATGGCAAGGCTAAACTTTCTTGTCCCCTACATGGACTCCCTTTTCTTACAGCTCCTAAGGAATATATAAAATTTGTTTGACCTCCTGTCTCAGTCCTTAACCCACTGCTATTCCACAACAAAAAAACACCAGCCATTCCTAGGAGGCCACTTAGTTTTAAAGCCCTTTTCATGTCTAGAATGGAGACAGAAATCACCCCTTGGCAACCATTCCAGGTTGCCTTTCCAGCTATCTGAAAAGTCCTGACAAAACCTGTATTATTTTCATACAAGAGAAACTGAATTGCATGAAAAGTTAAAACAGGTCACCTGAATTGTTTATACTTGTTTTGACAAATGCTTCCATGATCCATCTTAATTTCATGAAAAGACAAATGCCTCTTCTACCCCAAGATCCCCTATAAGAAAATAATTATGGTCTATTCTTTAAAGTATCTTGATAAACAAGATAGGAAAACAGTAGAGAAACTCTGCCAAGCTCTTGTGGAGTCCTAGTGGGGAGGAAAGGAAACAGAAGTGCTATCTCGTCTTTTCAGTAAATGGTTTGGCCCTGAGGTCAATCTCCCTCATATCTATGTGACCAGCTAAACTCCATCTGAAGCTGAGAAAAAAATTATTACCATTTAAGATTAGGTGAACACAGAATTTAAACTGTGGCCTTAAACCTGCTAGGGAATACCAGGTCACGTAAAGATTGGCATATACACATGGTATTGTTCAAAGTAATGCCCAAAAGAAGGTGCAATGAGTGCAAACAGGCCTCATACAAACATCAGGTAATGAAGTGAAGGGAAAACAAAATAGAAGGAAGAATAGTAATTCTCTTTGGTACAAAACTAGGGAATGGCTGACTCTGGGACCATTGCACAAGATGCCAGGGCTGTGTCAGATTCGGATGGGTTGGGCAGCCGCATCTGGCTTGAATTCATGAGAGGAGTAGATTCCACAACTTTCCTCAATATGAGTGTCTTGGCCTTATAGAATTTAGAACTCGATACTTTAGCTGTTTGATTGGCCACATCAGCAGAAGTCCTAGGAAAGTAGAAAATTTTTCCTTTTATATCTAATGCCTAAGTGAAGGATGGGAAATGATTTGGAAAGTCAGCTCATGGCCAGAGATACTCATGAAAGAGGCGGTAGCACTCCTGGTAGTCCATTTGCTCTCTGGAATTGATAAGAAAATTTGGAATCTCTTGGCAGAGTGTTCAGGATTACATGGCAGAGTCATCTATATACCACATTTATTTAACAGAGTTGCATGCAAACTCTATGAGAGATGAGGTTTCTTTCTGATTTGTCCATTTGGAACAGTATCTGACACATACCAGGCACCATTAATTTTGTTGCTTTTGTTGTTATAACTTTGCCAAGTTCTTGTCAGTACCCTAGATCCTGGGGATTTCTCTCTCAGTGCCTCTCTGTTGTCTGTCTGTCAGAATGGATGCTAGGATTGTTTCCTGCCCCCCAATGCCACTTTAAGGGGCTTTTAGGAACAGACAGACATATATCTATATATTTATCCAAGTCATTTGTATTTTAGAAATAATTCTTATGTTATTATACTGCTTTTGAACATGTAGGACTTGCACTGATGCTACATATTGTTGCTGGGTATCCACCAAAGGATAAGCTTTAGACTCTAAGTATTAATCATATCTTATATCTTCAATATTTTGTACTGCTTTAGATTCTAAGCATTAATCATATCTTATATCTTAAATATCTTATATCTTACTGTCTATGTTCTGTACAACTAAACTTGCCTACAATGTTGTTAACCCTTAATTAATAAAATGATTTGATAGCTTAACAATAGAGCCTATTTTGTTATCATGAGAATTTTAATTAGAAATTTAGATGGTGAGATAAATTCTGTTTGGGGGTATACTTCAGGACAGTGAAAGAAATTATTGGACAAACTCAAAACTCAGCCTTACTTCCTCAGCAACAAATTTGACAAGAAATCCTTGCTCACATTTCATAATAACACTACCATTTCCTACTATAACACAAATTGGCATCTAAAGACATCAGTTACCAATGTGATATACCTTAGGGTGGATCCTAGCATTTCCTCATAAGGTTTGACATCTTGTCTTTCACTTTCCCGCCACAGAATGCTGGAATCCAGCCCAGTGCCTAACACATAGTAGATGCTCAAAAATGAGTGTCAAGTCCTTAAAAGATCCAATCCACCACCCTCTGAGTCAGAGGAAAGATTTTACTTGAAATTTTGAAAATTCAGAGGAAATTAAGTAAGAGAATTTAAAATCACTTTTATGGCACTTATCCCAAGTGACCTTAAAGATATTCTGTAGAGTCTCCCAAATTTTCTATTATGATCATTTTTTAATAGTAAGACACTGGGAATCCTGTAGAGTCTTCCTTAAAGCCCTATACAAATCCTGTAGACTTGGAACCCTAAAGAGCCCTCTTTTGTAGTGCTTCCACTGAATTGCCTAAAAAGGGAAAGATTTTTTTGGTATTTCCACATTTTAGAAAGAAGCAGAAGGAAGAGATTCAGTGTTCTAAGTGAAGAAATGCAGGTTCAACAAGGATAGCTACTGTACAGCTATTCCATAGCTAAGGGTTGTACAGAATCCTAACTGGTCCAGGTGCCCTAACCCTGGGGTCTGGGATTAGCCCATTTGTTCTGTTTGTTTCTTTCTTAATTCCTGCACCATCACCATTTCTCATCATGTCTGAGATTTTTCTGTCACTCTGAAAGTGCAGAGGAGTGGCTGGTCAGTGCTCTGGATATGAGGATGGGAGTGGAGGAGTGGGCATGGCAAAGAGACTGAGTCTGGGGCCAGATGATAAGATTTGATCAAAACTGCATAACTGTAGTTATAAAGGATTTCTTATCACTTTCCCTCTGTGGAAAATGTAATGCACAGAAGTAGTCATTTTTTTCCACGGTGGCCTCTCTGGAAAGTCCATCAGCATTGGGAAAAGACTGATTCAAACTATAGAGGACTCTATGAGCACAAAAGTTAAAAGAGGTGCAGTGTCCCCTAGAGTAGAAATACCATGCCCTTCCCCTAAACCAGCACAGATGCATGTCGTGAGCCCTTCTGTGCCAACCATGCAATGCAGCAGATACCCCTCAGTCTTGCCCAACAAGACTCCGTTAAGGGGTAAGGTGTTCCAGTCACCTGGGGATGGCACGGGCTGGTGGAGGATTACCACTACCCCCATGACCCTACATACACATGTGCACGCACAAATACCGGTAATCAACTGCTAAGTGATTAATATCTCTAGAAAACAATATCAAGTTGTTATTTCTTTAATATTGAGAAAGCACTTCAGGATTTTTTTACAGTTTTAAGAGCTATATTGCAATCAATGATTCTCATTGAAAAGGAATGTAGAAAAATGTGTGTGAGTGAGAGAAAGAGAGAGAGACTTTAGGAGTTTTCTTAAAATATTTCCTGATGTCAGTAACTCGGCTATTCTGCTCCCTTCACCCCTGCCCCACTGCCTCTTACTATGCTGTTTAGTAAAGAAAGAAAATACATCTAAAAACTTGAACTTTCTCTTTGCTTAAGGTTTGGATAAATGGGAATTTGTTAAAGTTCTTTAAATTCCACTAGAAACCTTAACTTTTCAATTAGGCTTCTAACCTTTCTAATCCCATCAGTAGCTTTTTGAGTTGGTAAGTGCAAGCCTAAATATTTCCATTTTATAGATGAGGAAACTTTGGGCCAAAGATTGAAACGCTTTGGTGTAGGCTTCCCTGGGAAAAATCCAAGGCCTTAGCAGAAGCAGAATCAAGGTCTCCAGTCTCCTTCCTGCCAGAGCAAAAGGAGTACTCACGTCATGATGTGGGTCTCCACTCCTGCCTCCACCAGAGCCCCGTCGACAAAGAGAGGAACCGATGTAAAACCGTACTTGTCCCAGGAGTGGCCCTCGTCAAAACTCACCCTGGGTCAGAAACAAGTGATGGAAAAGACACTTGAAAATAAAGCCATACTTTTTTGCAGCCATTTTCCAGGTTATTAAATTTTCCTCTATATCTCACTTTCTGGCAGTTTGGATTATCAGTAGGCATTAATCTTCAACATCTCCCCAAATTATTATGAGATTTGATCAAAACTGCATTTCCTGGCCCAGGCAGAGACACCTCCAGAAAGGCAGACATATTTCAACACATTAGAATCAAAAAACAACCCAAGCACAAGGGCTTAGTGAACAGAGTGTCACGTTTCAAGTACTCAGAATGGAACCTGAGGTTCAATTTACAGCACAATCAATTCAGCCCTTGGAGTTTCTGACACAGATAAATTGAGTAGTGCGGGTGTACCCTACGGGAAGGGGTATGTGTGTCTTTCAGATCAAACCTTGCAGAAAGCAATTTCCTATTTGTTCAGAATGGATGTTACGATAGTTCTCCCTCCCCAATGCAACTTTAAGGGGCTTTTAGGAATGACCATTGAGCGTCTGAGATGTTCTGCACGACACTGTTCCATCATTTGTACAGTGGTAAGAGGAAGGTCTGGCCCTCCATGGATACAGAATCTGCAACCCTTTAAAGAGATGCTCTTAGTGGAGGAGACTTGAGCCATTCTGAGTGCTTGCTGCTTCCCTTCCCTGATATTACAAAGTACCTGTCTGACCCTCGATTTAACCAGGGGGCATAGTCCAAAGGCCATGTCCTCTGAGATGCGTTTCTGAGCACCCCTTATCCTGCAACTCAGCTTTAGTTTCTTCATCCTCTGTGATCCTTTTTATTCTGGCTGATTGTTAATTCTTTTATAACTCTACAATCTAGGATTAGGAATCCCTCCTATATGTTGCAATAACACCCAAGCCAGGTACTGAGTGATGGCTTCTTAACTGAACTTGAATATCTCAATTCAAAATTATAAACTCTGGGAGTTCAGGGATCCTATATGTCTTATTCATTGAATGATCCCTTAATATCACACACACACAATATATATATATATATATATATATATATATATATATGTATGTATATATATATATATACACACATATATATCTTTATTACAATGCTCCTTACATTTTACACACACACACACACACACACATACACACGAGAAAATATGTTTGACTCACACTAAACTGTGAACTTTTTGAGGCCAAAGACTCTACCATTAAATTTTGTGTTCCTAGTACTTAGCAGAAAACCTGGCACATAGGTGATGCTAAGTTAAGTGCTAAATGAATAAAAATAAGGAATGGCAAAGGCCCTGTTTTAATCCATCCAATCATTTTTTCAAGCATGATTCATACTGGCATTCCCATGCTATATGTGGATCACTCCCCCATTCCTGGCCAGCTACTCAATCCATTCTCTACTCACTTCTCTCTCTCTCTCTCTCTCTCTCTCTCTCTCTCTCTCTCTTTCTCTCTCTCTGTGTGTGTGTGTGTGTATGTATCTCTTTCTCTGTTTTCCCCTCAGTCTTATCCTCTCTTTCCCAATATATGGATTAAAACAATGATAAAATTAATCTCAGCTAGAGTAACCAGTCTCTTAGAAAAAATTCTTTGCATTTATGGTATACCTAGATCCATGTCCACAAATGAAAAGCAGATAGTCTTCCATAACAGTTTTTATGAGTTCCTAACTTGTCAGCCACTCTTTTGAATTTTAAGGACTTGATCATTTCAGACTTAAAACAAAAAATTGGCTGAAGGCCAAATAATCATTTAAGCTGACCGCTCGAAAGTTGGGCAGATCTGAACTACTTTTCCTAGAAATGAGTTTCTCATTTCAAAAGTGAAAACAAAAGTATGATTGGGAATGAACTTTACTTTTCTTGCCATGTACCCCACTGGTTCCTAAAATGATCATAGTTGTTTCAGAGTGTGCCATGGCCACTAATGAGTTAACTCTGTCTGGTAAGTCCAGGAAGTCAGGAAATGTTAGTTCAGTTTTTGTTGCGGTTGTTGTTTGTTTTTTAATTTGTTGGTTTTGGTGACTTTGTACAAATTGGTTATTGTCTTGATAGATGGAAGCTAAAGTGAGTTTAAGGCCTCTCTTTGTCTCATTCCTCAGAATTTCTTTACTGGTGAAGGTCAGTTAGCATTCCCAGAGCAAACTGCAGTGAGTGCCACCAGCATCCCAAGGAAGGAAGACCTTCATACCACTGTCACGATTAGCAGGGTATGGGACAGCCATCTTTAGTGTATGCAATGAAGAGAAGACCCCACAGAGCAGACCATCACAGCCTTCCAGTATTGAGATGGAAGCTCCAAGGCAAAGCTAAGCCCAAGTAGAGACAGAAATTATACAAGATCGAGGGACTACTGTATGAAATGAGTTCATATACAAGAAACAGAATCATAGCTAGAGGAAAAAATGGGAATGAGCAGATGCCTTAAGTAAAGATGAGAAATGCCAAAGTCCAGGTAGGAAAAGTAGCATAGACAATAACTGAATCCAAGGACGACATAAATAAGCACAAAGAAGTAGACGGGTCTCGAGAGCTAGGGTGATCTGAGATCAGTACTTTCTAACAGTTGATTATCTCAGGCTGAGGCAGTTGTTAAGAACAGAACAAAACAAGGCAAAACTCCCCGAAGAAACTTAAAAAAACACATTAGAAAACTTAATCTCTTTGTTATCAAGTATTTGGTTCTGGATGTCCTTCCATTTATGAGAGCTATTCTTTTTGACAACTAGGAGTTTTAAAATGTTTTGAGGCTACATATTCTATGTTGAATTTTACATTGAATGGTGTCCCCAAGGGATCCACCTTCTCTTCAGGTCCGGAGCTCATTAGTGGCCAAGACAAAGGAATTGTGAATTTCTTATTAGCTCAACAGGTGAAATTGAAGTCAGTAGCACTGCCGATACTCAGGAAGCCAGGGGTAAAATTTCATCTGATCTCCAAATAGTGGCAATATAGGACAACAGAGTCAAAATAAAATAAAATTTATTCATCAAATAGTTATTGATGTCTGTTATGTGCCTGATCTGACAGGGACCTCAGTTCTAGGGATACAGAAGTAAACAAAATGCTTCCATTCTAATTCGAGGAGATGAATAATATGCAAATAAATTGATACAAAAATATGAGTTAGAAATAAATATGAAGACAATTAAAATAAAGTGATTTGATAGCGACCAAATAGCTACTTTATATTGAAAATTTAAGAGAGCCCTCTCAGGGGAGGTAACATTGAAACTAAAATCTGAATGATAATAAGAAACTAGCTAGGTAAAGATCCAGGGGAAAGTTATTGCAGAGGAAAGATCTAATGTGAAATGGAGATGCTCTCTGGGAAGGACAGAAAGATGGTCAGTATACATAGCTTAGTGTGAAAGGGAATTAGTAGAAGGAAATGAAATCAGGAAATAAGGCAGAAACCAGATCATGAAGGACCTTGTTTCCAATTGAAATGGGAGAGAGATAATTTTATTTAAACTTTTAAAGACACTTTTTTTTTTAACATGATAGCAAATGAAGATAATTTTTTTTTTATTTTTTTTTTTAAAGACACTTTTAATTCTCTGTGGTAAGTGGATTGTCAAGACCCAAAGTGGATGCAAAGAAATGAGTTGAGGAGCAGATTAGGGAGGTGGTGATTTAAGAGACCAAATGAAAGATAGGGCTTGGGTAAAGATTATGGTAGTGGAAAAAGAAAGACATGGAAAGATTTAGGATATTTCTAGCAGTGAAGTCAATCAGATTTGCTGACAGAATGTATCTACATTGCATGAGCAAAAGAAAGAAATCGTGGAAAATATTGACTTGGGGAGGATTAAACCAATTGAAAGGGAGATATGGGAAGAGCAGGAGAAGCAAAGCTTTTTGTTTATACATTTGTCTCTGTCTCATGTCAAGATTTAGATGCTTTGGGGACTTCCATATTATGACATTATTAAGAAGGTTTCTGGATAAACAAATCTGGCTTTCTGGTCATAATTGGGGATCCAAATTTAGAAGTCACTTGTAAGGTAGGGCCAACATAAAGCAGAATTCTTAATACAAAAAACAAACCAAAAACCCAAGCCCACAACTGGATAAAGATTAGCTGATGAAATAAGTTCAAGCTGAAAAGGAAGTAGAGTCATTGTCAATCACAAGTTAAATACTTTCCAGCAATGGCACTATCATGAGAGGTAACCAAGCCATTATGAGTCTAGTGTGTGCCCACAGATATATTATAAGCATAAGAGAAGATATTGTCCTTCTACCAGATTCTAAATACTATGCTCAGTTATAAACATTGATAAAATTTTTGTAGAAAAACTGACAATCAGTGCGATTAAAGGTAAAACAAATTGTTCTAGAAACATATTATATGAATTGTATAGACGGCTTAGGGAAAAAGAATTGAATTAATTATTGAATTTTAATTTTTGTAATGAGAAAGTTTCCAATTTTTTTAAAAGCTCTATTTGTTGACTACCAAAAAAAGTAATGCCAATGAATAAAATTAAAGAGAATATGAGGTCTGACCAGAAAGTATCCAGCCATGTAATATGTTTTCATTATATTAACAATGGCCAGATACTTTCTGGACAGATCTTGTATAGTTGGACACTAATTTTTAAAAATACATATAGAATAAGGGAGAAAAGATTTCCAATCTTGTGACTCTTCTAAAAGGAATAGTCAAATATTTGTGCATAAGAATTTAAGATCCCAAGTACATTGTCTTTCAGTAGTCTATTCCAACCCCTATTCTAATGCTAGATAAATAGTATATGCTCAATGCATATGTACAGAATAAATGAACAAATGGATAAAATCTGCTTTGAGTTACATATATGATTACTTCCCAGAAATTAAAAAGCCTAAGGGAAAAAAAAATATCTTGAGGTTCTTTCCAGCAATGCCATTCTAAAAGTCATGGCTAATTCTGGAACAGATTTATTCTGCATTGATCTAGGCAACGGAATAGGGGTCAATGGGCAGAAATTACAAGCAGAGTCACTATTGCTCAGCATGAAAAACAATCTTTCCAACAACTGAAGCCATTGTACAAATGGAAACTCCCTGTCTTGGGCATTGCAAGTTGATTGGCACTGTGGTACTCTGGTGAAGTGAGGTGGGTGACCCTTCAGGGTGTCACCAAAGTATCATATAATCAGGTGTGACACCAGATTATATGACTTCCAGGAACCTTTCCTACTCCATGTGTTTATGAGTATGATATTAGGATGAGATAAACTAAAAGGAATAGGATCTTTCAAGAACCTGAGTTCTCCCCAGAAGTCTCTAGCGCAGAAAGAGAGAGTTGTAATGGTCATTGAGAATCAATGTCCCTCCCTTTTGTGAGGTGTACTGCTCCATTTTATTTTATCCCAAATGCATGAGGTGGTGGCATTTTAGCCACCTGGGGATTCTTCAGAATAGCACATGCACTTTTGCTCCTCAGAGGCATGTATTGGTTGTAAATAATATTTTCATGTGAATGATTCTCTGAACAAAATGCTAGAGCCCACACAACCATTTACAGAAGAACAAAGGAACACAAAAGGCCAGGTGATGTTTTCTTTTCTGTTTCCAAGAACATCCCATTGAGAGACACTGACAGCTCTTTAGGGCTGAGCATGGTCACACCTCTGTCTACCTGCCCATTAGGTGCTCTGTCTATTGTGAGTTTTCATTAGAGCTCTGTATGCAGTGAGGGTCCATTGTTCATTTTGTTCTAATGCTTCTAAGGTACAAAGGTAATGCTAGGTGGAGAGGTCACCTGCAATAGCACTTAGGTTCTAATCTCTGTGCATCCAAACGTACATGGTCACAAACAGATGGGTTCATTTGTAAGCTGCTTTGTCTTCATGCCTATCTAGCTACCTATCATTTCAATTTGTAGGGAACAGCACGTCTTGTTAGCCTAGGTAAAGTCTCCCCAGCTTTTCAATTATGACTCCTATTTTCTCTGAAAGGCAATGTAGCTATTATTTAAATCTGAGAGCCACTATAACCTTGTGTGAGAAAGGGTAAGCTGGTGTCTTTTCCTTTGCACACACACATACACACACGTGTGCAACCACACACATACATCTGTATAAAAAATGTCAATCTGAGATCTACAAAGAAAATAACAACAAACTGATTACCTAACCTTTCTTCCTTTTAAAATGAGGTTATTTGTTTACCTTGAAGGTTGCGGCTTAATTAGAAGCTACTAGTGAAGAAAAAGCTGCCTTTGAGTTTCAGAAGCTTACATCTCATAAGCAGGAGACAAAAATCAGTCAACAATTTCATAAGTAAACATTGATGATAATGATATGGTCAAGCCCTTACAAAATATTCACTTAGCCTTTGAAAGAGAAGTGCAAAGAAGAATTCCTAAGTGAGCTTCTTGCTGTTGTTTTCTAACACACACACTCAATAGCTGGCATTTAACCATTTGGAGGGATTCTTTCAGACAATGGCATTCCTAGACAAGCTAGTAAGCAGAAATCATGGAACCCGTCCAAGTCCAGAGGAATATTTGTAGCATTCATGACAAATTACGGTGTCAACATCCTTTAAACAGATTTAATACTATCTCAAAAGCTTACCATGAAAAAATCATCTTTAATACTTTCTATGTTGGGGTAGATAAGAGGGAATTCACCGGGAATGCAGCTATTTTTTCTGAGCTCTGCAAATATTTTACCAAGAAAAGTGATATTATACAGCAGGGAAAACTCAAACTTTTTATTGATGACTTTGGGAGGCATGATTTGATTCTATACATATTCCTAAGTGAATACTGAATAATTTTCCCAACTTAGATGGCTTCTCTCCAGGTATTCCCAGACTAGCATTCCTATTGGAAGTGAGGTCTCTGGAGAGAAACCTATGCCTTTTCCTGATTAGAATCGGATACTTTCCAGTAAAATTCTTACTCTCAAAATGTTCATCTCTCCAAATAAAGGACCTGGTATTTAAGCCAGGGGTCCATCATCTTGCCCATGACAAACCCCACCAATTTTACTCTAGATAGCATATCTTCCATTTCCAAGTATTCTCTCTGCTGAATCTTAAGCCTGGAATTATTTCCCTTAAGAATATGAACACACATAAGACTTATCCAACCCTTACCAGAAACATAAAACAACATCAAGAAATCATCATCATCATCACATATTCTCACTCAGCTCTTTATCCTCACTGAAGGGTCTTGCACACACTCTCAGCTCTATTCCATAATCTACTTTCTCAAGAAGAATAATCTGTACTGTCTCTAGTTCATTTCATTGCTTATCATTCATTCGGTCACGCATTCATTTATAGATCTATTACAGTCTCACTTTCAACCCCTCCTCTGTTTCAAATCTACTCTGACAAAGAGCACCGATTACCTCACATATTGCTTAATCCTTGAGAGTTTTCACTTCATAACTGACTTGATTTGATTGTGGAAGTAATGCTGTGGATCACCCCTTCCTGCAGCATCCATGAAAATATTTCCCCAGAGTTTCTACCATTTTGCCCATTCCTTTGTACTCTGTCCTGAAATTTCTTCTTCTAGTCCGCATATTGGTTTTCAGCAGGGTTCCATAGTGGTCCCTAGTTTCTCCTTGTTGTACCCACTCTCATGGGGCAGTGAGCCCACTACCATGGCTTTAACTCCAACTTTAAGGTGTCAGCCCAGACCTCTGCCATGATCTTCAGATGAATATATCTGAAAACTAATGGTCATCTCTGCTGGAATATTCATAAGAATCGCAAACTCAACTTATCTAGACTTGAACTCAATACCTATTACATGCATCTAATCCTTCTCTTGCAGCAATTTCCAACTCTCCTACTTTGGATTCCTAATGTTGGCTACTTGGACTTACAAGGTCCTTCCTGCTTCTTTCTGTTTTATCTGACCACACACATTCCTACCACCCGCCTTCATTACACTCCCCCATCTGGATGATCTGGCCACACTACCTATGGGTTACATGATGTAAAGGATATCAGATGGATGGATGGATGGATGGATGGATGGATAAATAAATGGATCAGAAAATGGATGAATGGGTAAGAAACCATGCAGAATAACTCGACACAACCCTCTTCTCTAAAAAGCTGCTCATTCATTAATAGGGTAGGGAGCTGTCCTTACCACAAATGCCTGACTGGCAGAGGTGTGTGTTTCATGGCCACGAGGGCGCCACCCCAGTCTAGGAACCAGACATTGTACTCTTCATCAAAGATCTGGAACAACAACAACAGCAATCATAGCAACACCTTACATTTGCATAGTGCTTAACAGTTTACAGTCTTTCACATATGTTGTTTCATCAAGATTCTGAACCTTCCAACAACCCTATCAGATAGTTTGGCAAGTATTATCTCCATTAGATAGATGAGGAAATGGGCTCACAAAGAACAGATAACTCTCCTTAGGCCACTCAAATTGCACTTGCAGGACTCTTGCCACATATACTGTGAACCAGCATGCTTATGCGAAGGTGAGGCCACAAGGGGCATGCTCAAGTGGAAAACTCAAAGAGAGTATGACCTCAAAGAAACTTCCCCATCTTTTTGTCTTAATAAGTTACTACTCAGCCCTCTCTTCCTCATCTAATCAGAAGTTTGCTCATTTATAAATGGTCTGTGGCTTATCATGTTGTTTAAAAATTATCTAGGAACCTAAAAGATGATTTCCCTAGACACTATGGTATACCTGATAACTGAGTATTTAGACTGAGGCACTGCCTCCCTGCAAGTTGGATGAAGACCTAAGTTTGGTGCCTGTGGACTCCTACTCTACATGCTCATGGGAATACAGTATTTCCAGGGAACTAAAGTTATTAATTCTTTGATTCATCTCTTTTTCCATTACCTATTCATCCATCTACTCACTCATTCACTTATTCAGTGATCCATTTATCCATCCATCTACCCATAGGCATTTTCTAAGCACCAATGATGATACAAGGCTCTGAGTCAAAAGAATTTCACACCTAATCTCACATATATCAATGCTTATCCCAGATATGACTTTCATATCTCCACCTTCTAATAGAAAAACCATTTCTCCAGCAGAGAACTAACCAGTGGAGGGTTTCTTTAGACTTCTAGAGGAAAGTAGGCTTGGAGAATTCCTCCAGCACTTAACTGCTGATGGTGACTATTGCAGCCTAGATGGAGAGGTTGGTATGGTGGATTAAGTGAAGAGGACAAAGAGAGGGTAAGGAGATTCAGGCATATATAAGAGGGGAATGAGTAGGAGGAATGCGGCATCCTATATATATGCCCCAGGAACACCATAGAGCAGTGGTCCCCAACCTTTTTGGCACTGGGGACTGTTTCCATGGAAGACAGTTTTTTCATGGACCAAGGTGGAGGAGTGGGGCAAATGGTTTGGGGATTGATACAAGCACATTACATTTATTGTGCACTTTATTTCTATTATTATTACATTGTAATATGTAATGAAATATTTATACAACTCACCATAGATTGGGGACTCCTACTTTAGAGAAAAAGTAAATAGTTTCTCAGCACTAAACACCTTGGGCATCTTTTCCCCCATTTACCTTTAAAGAAAAGAAAAATGTCCCTCCTAATGGTGGGTCTTAATGTACAAAGGACCTAAGGGTGATTCACTTATACTTCAGGTATAAACACAGGCTCTGACCTGCAATGCTAGGCTTTTCTCTGCAGAGCTTAAAGATTGGCTTTGTGATAAGCCACATGATAGAGATGCTGGATTGAAACCTAAAGAGGAGGAACAAGAGAAGAGTCTCGGCACTGGGAGAAGGGAGATGTTATCCTCATACTCTCCTCTTGGTGTTAGTGTTCTGGCCACCATTAACTTTTGTCTGGGCCAGCACTGGGTTGAAAGGTGAAATCCTTCGTTGTTTGGGAAAGACAGAAAGAAACAAAAGTAGTGACAACACTGAGAAGGAATGTTACAGTGGCCCCCTGGCCAGGTGAGCCATTTCTTGAGGTCTAGGGACGATACTGGGAGTTTTTGTTCCAGATGAGTTTACATCCCAGCTTCCAGCCTCTTTTTATACTTGCAACAGGTTACCTTATCTTTTGAAGGTAACATCTTTCTTGTGTCTGTTCCCTATCCACCTGACTGTGGCCTTATGGGTAGGAACCTTGATTTATTCTTCACTGTATGCCTTGTGGTACTTAAAATAGTTGCTATGTCTGATAGGTGCTTGGCAAGTTTTGTAAATAGTGATAATGACAGTGGTGGCAATGGGCGTGGTATTGGTGATGGTGATGACAGTCTTCACTAAAGGATCCAAACCGGAACTTGTCCAGCTAGATTTCAGATGGTGACATCTGTCAGATGGTCACATCACCTTTACCATCAAGATACTCAGTGCTTTTCTTTCATCTTCCCCAGGTAGAAACTGTCTCACCCTTAAGATTAGTGAAATGTCACCTCTTCTTGTGAAGTCTTTCCAAGTTTGCTTAGTAGAATCAATTCCTCCCTTCTCTCTGCATGCTATAATGCCACAAAAATAATGCTATCACCCTGAACTATAGTTAGTTATTTATGAACCCATTTCCTCTATTTAATTTTGAGCTCCTTGAGGAAAGGGACTCCAACATATTCAATTGCCTCTTGAGGCTTTTGCCCAGCACCTAGTTGACACTGTATAAATCTATGTTGTCCAATATAGTAGCCACATGAGACTATTTAAATTTAAATTAATTAAAATAAATAAAATCTAAAAGTCAGTTCCTCTGTCATAATTCAAGTGCTCCATAGCTGCATGGGGCAGCATAGAGAAAGAACATTTCATTGTCACTGAAAGTTCTATTGGACAGTGTTGCTATAAATGTAAAATTGAATTAATTTTTCATGTAGTCATATATCTATTAAGCTGTTCAATACTTACTTAAGACTGAGTCTACACAAAACATAAACAACCACCGATTTCCATGGTTCTGTCAGTTTTAATGTTCTAATGCCCTTATTTTGTAGCTAAAAAAAAAAAAAAACACATCCACAAAGGAGAAGGCAGCTGCTTGCCAAGAACCCTTGGCATGTTAATGATAAAGACAGTTTATCAGTTGTCTCCCCAACAACCAGCACAGTACTTAGCATCTGGGGCTGGCACATACATATTGTGGGAGGAAAGAATAAATGAACTTGGAAAATTCTAGTTCTTCCTATTCCCTGCCCAGTGCTCTTCTCATCTTACTTCATGGCTCTTTTAATCTGCCAGCCAAATTGACCAATATGAACAGTGTTTCTTAATGTTAACAAAGTCATAATGATCCTGAGAATCTCTAGGAAGGGGAGATGTTGGCAGAACTCACTCTAAATGTCTCCTCCCTGCTATTAAATCATCCCGGTTACCTGTCTCCACGTGTTGCCCCCATCGGAGGAGATGAAGACACCAATATCTGTATATGAGAGCTCCGGGCCAATGTTGCCTGAAACGTAAGCAGAGCATTTGACATTGTCAGGCAGTTTATAGGTTAGGTGTGTTAAGGGTTGGGGGCGGGGTAGCAGAGAGTACGGGTTTTCCAAGTGATGTTTACAGTTGACTTGTGCAGGCTCTTTCTTGGTGTCATATCAAAAACTCAGCAGGAAGAAAAACCCAATATGGGGAAACAATCAAATAGTATGACAAGAATGCATCTTTAAATGGTAAGACTCAAAGACAATATCGATTAGCTTGGGTCTCTTGAATTATTCACTCTGTGTACCAATAATCTCATAAATTCCTCTTGATAGGTGTCTTCTGAAGGGAGCAAAGAGTAGAAGAGTAAACACTATGGAAAATATGGGTATAGGAGCCCCTTATTCCTCAGGTATAATTTTAGCCTAAGAAACGTGTGTGTGTGTGTGTGTGTGTGTGTGTGTGTGTGAGAGAGAGAGAGAGAGAGAGAGAGAGAGAGAGAGAGAGAGAGAAGAAGACAAAAAGGGGGTGAGTTCATGGATATGTGTCTGCATGCATGTTTCCAACTTGAACTTACAACATGTTCCCTGAATGTCAGACAGTTGAGTGACCCTATGGTACAGACTATGTAACCTAAATTATAATATAAATTGTCCAGAATAAGATGACCACACTCAGCACACCATGGCCATCAAGCATGGCAGGAAAAGAAGTCACCTGGTTTATGCCTAGACCAACCAACAGTTACTCCCTCCATCCTTTCACACTCTCCTCTTCTCTTTGCCCTTCTTTTTCCTCCCCTTGCACTTCATTAGCTTGTGCTTATGCTTATTATAAAGAAAGTGGTCAAGATTATTAGCCTATCTATACTGCTTTAATTTCCCCAATGGAAATCCCCCTTCTCAGTGCCTAGAACAATGTCCCCAACCTAACAGTTAGTGCTCAATAAATAATTATGGAATGAATAAATGAGCAAACAAATGATTGAATCGTGTTCCCATGTGGATGTGCACTTGGGGAGGTACTGAAAACCAGGAACGTACCCTAAACATGTAAGAGTGTGTCATACTGGCTGATATTTTTCTTTAAAAATAGCAGGAAGAGAATGTTGGCCCACACATCTGTAGCCTAAATAAGAGCACAATAAAAATGCAATAATGAAAATGTTAATTGAGCTCCTGACATTTAATGCTTCAAAATGAGAAATTAACACTAGGCTACAGCCTGTCAAGCTCCCATCAACATCGGTGAGAATACAGCTAGCCAACTTGTTTTGATACTTAGGCTTCCAAAAATAACCTCCTGGGCTCAGGCAGTAGGGGTGAGGAGTGGGGAGAGGTTGGGTGTAGAGATCTATGGAGATCCATCTGGAATTTGGAATTCAACTCCCTAAATATAGGCTGTAGAAGACACGGGTGAAGAAATGAAAGAGGGATGGGGAAAAGAATGCCTACTCAGCCATTTGGTGGTTGTGCTAACCTGGAGCATTGTGCTAAGAAGAATTGGGAAGCCATATGTAATTTCAACAGGATAGAATGTGGTGAACCATTAATGTCTACCAAGGGTGGTAGAGAGAGAGGGACGCAGGAGCACAGTCACCCCAGAGTGGTGTATCTGCCAGCCCTGGTATGGCTTCTAAGGATGTAGCTTATCACCTCTTACCCTCCTTAGAAGCTCTGCAAACATCTTCAGCTTCCTCTTTCAAAGCTTGGCTAGACTGGCTCAGGTGGCTTGATGGTGGTAAGAACCCAAGGCTACAGTGAAGTTTACTTTTTAAAATACCTTCTATCAATTGAAAGGAGCCCTGAAAGAAATACTGCTGATCACAGGGACCAGAAAACTGATTCCCAGGTGAAGGGACAGAAAACACATATCTAGGACAAACTGATCTTTGAACATGCCCAGTCCCTCAGCGGCCCTGACAGGAAGGGCTTGGGTTATGGTGCCAGAAAAGGAAGATCTGAAGAAGGAGCCTTGCCGGCTGCAGTGGGACTGGGAAAGCTCGGTTAAAGTGGCCGCTGACCAGGCTCGTAGAAAGAGATGTGGCTGTTACCCACGTGAGCGCTGTGACAGGAGAGAGGAAGGAGGGGCGAGATGGAGAAGGACAAGGAGCTTCTCTCACCAACAGCTGAGATGGTAAATCATGGAGGTTCCACTGCCCGTTTTGGAAACTTTAAACAATTTGCCATTACCCTTATATCCTTCCAGTGCTATCCTTCTCTGCTCCTCAGTTAAACACTTTTGAAAAAAATAAAAGAGAAAGTGAGAGAATTTTTAAGTCCCCTAGGGGTTAAAGATGCTTCTCTCACCACCTCTGATGGCAGTGTAAGGAGTCGCCCACCCTGGGTGGTTAAAGGCTCAGTGGGGAAGGAAGTAGACCGTGCACAATAAACTGCAGGGGGTGGGGGATATGACACCTGTTCCCATTCGCCCTCAGTCTGCATCTGTAAACTGAGGAGGAGGACAGTAATCACCGTTTCTACATCACACGGCCATTGTGCAAGGAAGGTGCTTTGCACGCTGTAAGGCATGGTGAGGAGGCAAGGTCTTTAATGCTGGCTTGAAACCCAGTGTTAAGGACTTTGAGAATCCTGGTGTTTCTGCTTGCTAAAAGCAATCGCCAAAGTCTCCAAACTGAAATCCCATCCGCCTTCTGAGATGTCCTCAGCAGGAGTTAGAAATGAACCCCAGGGTATACTTTTATTTATGCAGCTTCCCTGGGACTGCATCTCCATGGAAGGTGGGAAGAGGGAGCAAGTAGTGGAAGGGGAGGGGGAGAGCCCAGGGTCACTGACACCTGAAGGCGGGTGGAAGACAGGCATGTGGGAAAGAGCCCTGCACACACGGGTGCCGCCCAGGCAGCTGGAGGCATGCCTCATGCTGACCTCGTAGTTATTTTCCTGATGGGACCAGGCAAGCAGGACAAGGAGAAGCTGGGACAAGGAGGTACACGCCAGTGATTTAGCTCTGGCTTTTCACTGGGGCCTCGTCAGCTGTGTTAGATCCCTCCCAGTGTCTCAGGGCATGGCAAAAAGCCTCAGGAGTTACCACAGGGGAATGAAAAAGGAATCAATCAATTCTGATATACAAACAAAAAAATAATTCAAAAACGAATCTTAATGTCTGCATGTTTGTTAATTAACATGCTGGTCACAGGTAATAATGACCACCACTAATCCCACCTTGCTTAGTGCTAAGCATTCTTCCAGGTCCTGCAGACACACCCATCTCTAATTTTTACAACACCCCCACAGTGTTGAAAACACCCTAGTTTTACCGCTGAGGAAAAAAAGCCCAGAGGTTAAAAACTAAGCCAAATCCACAAGGCTAGTAAGGGTCGGAGCTCAGCCTGGGAAGTGGCAGGACAGGGTTCCTGGGTTTCACTGCATGCACGGTGCTTGCATATGAAATAGGAGGTGAACAAACTATATTCTTCCACCGTAAGAAGAACAGTTTTAACTTCCATAATATTAATGATGATGACAGGTAACATATATTGAGTATTCAATATGCCCTAGGCACTGTTCTAAGCATTTTAAATTCATTGCTTCATTTAATCCTGCCATTCTATTATGTTAGTACTATTATTCCCACTTTGGCAATGAAAACAAAGAAGATTGGAGTGGTTAAACCACATGGAACAATGCATGGCTTTATGGTAAGCTTTCAAATAATATTATTAATAACTTTTATTATTGATCACTGTTTTCCAGCGTTGCTTCTAGTCTAGCCCTGGGCCTCCTGTGGGCCTTGAGGAGAGGTACAGGTACAGCAAGCCCTGAGTTGGAAGGACCAACCCACACAAATGACACAGTGTGGGGCTCACTCCCCAAGCCAGGGAGCAGCAAGAGAGCCCTCAACTCTCACTGCTCGGCTTCCCGGTGCCCGGTAGCATTAAGCATGGCGGATCCCATCCATGAAGGGTTGAAGGAGCTGACTGAAAGGCCAGAAGGCTATGCTAGCTGTCAATCTGATCAGGGCGGCTGGTCACTGGTAGTGTCTAAAAACTCACAGAGTTGGAGGCTTGGAAATGAAGGCATATCTAGCAGAGCAGGAACTCCAGAGGCCAGAGCTTTGAGTTGATGAGAGAAAACAGAATGTACCAGCTCAGAAAGTCACTGTGAATTTATCTGCTTTCATTAGAACAAAAAGCTGCTCAACACCAGAGCTGTAACTTTTGAGATGAGAAGCCTGCCTTGATTTATGTCATCGATGAATTCCTGAAAAGGTGTATGTAAATCCAGCGCATGCTAATCAGAGCACATTCGGAGGGAGACTCTCACTTTCATCTCAGAGTCAGTCACTTTATCTTCGCTTCTGACGGATGTTCAGTGGACAGTGGTTCCAGCAATGCAACCTTAAGTTTTCCTGCCCTTTGCCCCAGGCTCTCAGCCAAGTGGTTAATCACGTGTAAACAAACCTTAGCATGCACCAGAGACCTCCCGATTAAAAACAGCTCTGGGGTGAAACCCTGTGTAAAGAATCCTCTGTGTAAAGAGAAAAGGAGCCTAACTTATATTTGGTGAGCCAGGAAGTTTATATTTCATGTTTTCTTAAAGGGTGAGTTCGCTATTACACACAGTCTTTCTGATCTGTCAGTTTATTCCGAGAGGAACTCTGGCCTCTTGCTAAGCATGGGGGACCGCTCTGTGACGGGGATGATGCATTAACCCAGAAGCTACAAATGTCCAGAGCTCTTTGCATCCTGGGTTCTTGGATGGGCATTGGGGATCTATGAACCCTGCATATTTTCTGGAGAGAGTTCCCAAATGAGTCCATGGTCCAAACATGGGCGACAAACTTATTCTAGAAGCCCTCAGTGAGGGAAAAGCCCAGGGAATGCTTTCCTTACCTGTAGCCACCACAAGTCCTGGGGCAGTCTCCTTGCTGGAGATTCTTCCTGAGGAATACGGGTTTTCAGAGAGCTGCAAGTGCAGGTGTAAGGAACAGAAGGGCTGAAAGGGAAAAGAAAATAGTTTCATTCCAGGAAACTCCAGACACACCCTCCTGCCCCACTGGAGATGGGGCTTCCAGATGCTCAGCTTCCAGAAATAGAGCTATACACTTAGTTTGGGGCAGGGGCCCCCTCCACCTCAGATGGCCGGTGTGCACACATCCAGAGTCACCCTGGGCACCTTTCACAGCCGCTTCCTGCCCCTGCTCCCATCCACGACCCAGCACCTTCCCCTCTCCTCCTGTCCTCCTCTCCACCCAACCCATCTATCAAGGCCCGGTTCCCAGCTGGCTTTATGAAGCCTCCCTGACCACCCCTCCTCCAGGATGACACGGACTTTCCCCCATGTCTGACCTTGACCATCAGCTCTCTCCTTGGAGCTCTGACAATTATGGGAAATGACTGCTGAACACCAGCCCAGTTCCCCAGTCCCCTTGATGAAAGAAAGTCCCCAACACGGCATCCCCAGGTAACCAGCCTGGCCTGTGAACTTCACACGAGACAGGGTGACTGACCAGCAGGCAGTTTACTGGGCTTCCTCTCAGGTCCACATCTGGAGCTTGCAGCAGGCGCCAGTCCCTGCCTTTGTTGTAAGTGATGTATGTCTTCACCTGGTCATCCACCTTCTTGTTTGCCAGGAATATCCCTTTGATACCTGCTACCTAGGAAAAAAGGTAAGAGATGGAGAACCGTGTTGGGCCAAAATGCCTGTGGGCTTGGAGGAGCCCTGTAAGAAGATCCAGCACGCTCCACAGCATGTTGGGGAGACAAACAGGAAGAGGGAGAATGTGGTGAGAAAAGTTGTAAGCCACATGGTCTCTGAAAGCATTTTAGAAGTTCATGTACCCTACGCCACTCCTGATCTTTAATGGACTAGTAACATTCCCTGTGAAATGGGATTGTTGATAGTAACAGAAGGAGTTGCCCCTTCTAGAGAACATGTGCCTTTCCTCAGGAGGGACTTAGAGATGGGTTTTCAAGGCATCAAGGGATAACCCTTAATGGCAGGAGTCAAGATATCGTGATTAGCAGTAAGGTAGATATTTTTGAGTGGAAGACTTGGCTCAGAGACCAGGCATCTACCTCTTTCCATGCCACCAACTCACTGTGTGACTTTGTATAACTCACATGTCATCTCTGGGTCTCAGCCAATGGTCACTTTGGTGGAATATTCCCTATCCCTCCTCTTTTCCCCAGTTGGCTGGCAAGATCCATGAGATAATGTGCAGTGCTCTTGCCAGCGTTCCTGATGCATCGGGATTTGCAGGCCTTTGGTATTTTGAAGGGAAAAGAACATCACCACAAAGCAAGCAGCTAGAAGATTAAAGGAGATTTATCACCCAGAAGGGTTCTAGGGAGAGCACAAATTCCACTCAAACTTTTAATTCCTTCTGTTCTACAGGCTGGGCAAGAAGAACAGACATTTAAAACAAAACAACAGCGTCCTGTGTCAAAGAAGCAGTCCCTTAACTTTCCATAGAAGTTCCAGCATGTTCCAAAGCCAAAAGGCAATTCAAATCAGTTAAATGTGTATAAACAATATGTCAAATGGCACGTTTTGTGGGCAATACTCAGACGTCTCAAGGTTTTAATTGCATTTGTTCCTCTGCTTCAAGGATCATGGCCAACCGAGGGGCACTGCAGTTCTGAGGAGGAAAGGGACCATTCCACAGAGGAGAGCTTCGTGGGTTTTTTATTTATTTATTTTTATTTTTTAATGGCATAATTTAGTTGATGAAATAAAAAGTCTTTTTGTTATTTTTGAAGTAACCTGAGTGGCCTTGAAAGAGAATGCCAACCCAAATAAAAATAAACAAACAAAGAAATGGAGAGAGAATGTCAGGAGGAGAGTAGAATTATCTGGAAGGACAGCACCGGGGGACTTTGACAAAGGGCCAACAATGGAATTGATTAGATTCCTGCCTTGGACAGAGGGTAGGTAAGGAGAGAAGCCAAGGTATGTGTGTGTGGGGGGGGGCAGTGGTATCAGGGTCATGCCCTTCCCCAGAGGCACCCACCCCCCACCCTCACAGCTGACAAGACCATTTCCAGGAGGGAGGCATCTCAAATGTTCGTCTAGGGGCTATGAGGCTCCCACACTGCCTCGGTCTTTAAAATCAACCGCAAAGGTGTTTCTCCTGCACCTAACTGCCAATCCTCACAGAGAATGGAATATGGGTTTCTCTAGAACATTCTACCTGATGAAGGTCTTTCAGCATTCTCTCTAGCCACAAAGCTGGTGCCTTTTCTACTGGGCCCCCGGCTAATGATTCCAGGTAATGATTCACTTTCCTAAACTAGTACTTGCCACCTCCCTGCCCCTAATCCAGCCCTGATGTGTTGCCCATGGCCTTGCTTCCACTTCCTGGGAGAAAATATACAGGTCAGACTCAGAGTCCTGGGCCCACAATCCCACTGTGCCTGGGGCACTGCTCTCACTCCTCCCCCACCCCTAGATTTTTGCCCCACAGCATGAAACACCAGCCACTGTGCCAGGCCACCTCTGTGCTCTTCCAGGCCAGCATGTTTAGCAAATGGAATGGTCACTACATATTTTCCCACTGAGAGCTGCACCACTCAGACGGGCATCTTCTGTGTGTCCCATATGTTCCGAGAATGAAGTCAGGAGAATGAAGACTAAAGAGATGCAGAAAGGAGAGGTTTCCAGGGAACCTATGTGTAGCTGTGAAGGTATCTCTCCTGCAGTTTTACATAATGCCACAGCAATCTCCCTCCTGTCTGAAAGAACCAGATCGCTTCCAATTAGTATTTGGATAGCTCAAAGTCCTTACGTTATTACTGAATTGCTTTTTCTTGGCTCCATGGCTTGTATAAATGAGCTATAACTTTGGAGGGTACTTTGCTTTTGTGTACCCTAGGCCAACAGTTTTCAAACTTTCTGACTGCAGCCCAAGTAAGAAATATGTTTATGCTGTAACCCAGAAGATGCACAGCCATATATGCATGTATGTGTACACAGATATTTCTGACACAAAAGTGTCATGAAACACTACTTACACTCACTACGTGCAATGTAAAGGAATTGGAGAATGAGACATGTGTTTTAACTCTCCTTCATCCAAGGAGGTAGTCAACATCCAATAAACTTGAAGCATGCTTCCTCCCACTGTTGTGTGTGAGCAGAAGTACGACTGCTGCTGATCCCAGGAGCCTAGGGAGAAGGGGACCATGTGATGATGCCAAGAGAAGAGGGCAGTACCAGGTGTCAAGCCTGTGTGGCCCACTTTCCCTCTGGGAATCAATTTGAGGTGCAGAGGGAAACCGACAGCAGGCCCCTTGGCAGAGCTCTGAGTCCAGGTGGCATGGTCATCTGTTGGTCACCTCCCTGGGACCTCAGGATAAAGAAGCCAGGGCTCTGCTTCCAAAAGCAATTACTGTGATCTGCCTTGGGCTGTCCCTAGAGTGGGACCTGTGGTGAGGGGCCGATGAAGGTCAGTTCAGGGAAAAAGTCCCTGTGGAGTCTGTAAGCAGCTGTCCATCTGGCCCAAGAAGGGCCACTGAAGGTCATGATAAAGCAGAGGGTGGAGGGCAGGCTCTAGGAAGAGGAAAAGTAAGGAAACACCAGTGAGATGGGGAGAGACCAGGGCACTGAGGCTGGCTCAGGAAGTTTCCTTTTGTTCATCCCAGTCTAGTGGGGTCAACTTCAGTAGTCACTGGAGAACTGCAAATCAAACCCACACACACTGAGGTACCACTAGGTCCCTATCAGAATGCTTACACACACACACACACACACACACACACACACACACACACACACCCCAAATTAAACAAGTGCTGTGAAGACGTGAAGCAACTGCAACTCTCATATTGCTGGTGGGGAGGCAAAGTGGCCCTGCCACTTTAGAAACAGTTTGTTGGCTTCTTATAAACATATATTTACATTTAACTCAGCAATCCTACTCCTAAGTATTTGCCCATGAGAAAATAAAGCTTATGTTCATGGGAATGTCTATCCAAGTTTTATTCATCATCACACAAAACTGGAAGCAACCCAAATGTTCTTCAACTAGTGAATGGATAACAAATGATGGCACAGCTGCACAATGGAATACTATTCAGAAATCAAGTGATCATCTATTGATATACTCAACAACGTGGGTGGGTGAATCTCACATGCATTATTGTAAGTGGAAAAAAAGTCAGACTGTAAAGATTACTATTACATAAGTCCATTCATTAACTCTAGAAAAAGCAAAACTGGAGACAGAGAGAAGTGAGATTGGTGTTTGTCAGTAACTATGGGTAGAAGAGGGTTGACTACAAAAGGTCCATAAGAGAAGAGTATTTTGGGTAATGGGACTGTTCTATATCTTGATTATGTGGTAGTTACACAACAGTATGCTCAAATCAAAATTCATAGAACTGTATACCAAAAAGGGTAAATTTTACTGTGCAAAAATTATACCTCAATAAAAGAAACAATAGTAAAAATGTAAAAGTGTATATGTAGTTCACCTTATATATTTATTTGACAGTGCTGGTCTAAGGCATTGCTGGGTATGCTGTTGCTATTATTACAAGCAGTTATAAGTGTGATGCTTAATATCCAGGAAAGCATTGAAGAAAATGTATCAAGCCAGCATCTCAGAGAATATTTCCATAATATAAGAGTGGGTTTTGGAAAGAATATTTGTTTCTTGATTTATCAGTGGAAAGTAATTAAAAAGAAATGAATGGGTACAGTGTGCACCATCTGGGGGAATGGACAGGCTTGAAGCTCTGACTTGGGTGGGGCAAAGGCAATATATGTAACCTAAACATTTGTACCCTCATAATATGTTGAAATAACAAAAATGTAGCTTATACTTGTGGATGTGACGAAACCACAATAAAACTCCATGTGACAAGAGTGCTATAAGAATAATATTAATACTAAGCACACACAATAGACTATATTCACTAGCAACACCAGCCTTGTTTTGAAGGAGTTGGCTTCTGACACCTTAAAGAAGAGAATGATTATTATTTAGTCTCCAAGTGTTATTTTCTCCCCTAATTATGTAATTACAGCCATGGCAATATTGTACTTCAAGGCAAGGATAAGAGAAAGAACAAGAAAAGAATTTCTCTCTACAGTGGACATCTACTCAAACAGATTTGAAATGGTGATTGCCCCAGTCTTGCTGGATTTGGAGGAATGCAGCAGGACTGATCTCCATCTGTGTCCTCTCAGTGCCAAGCTTTACAAGGTGAATTTTCAAGTAAGTTCTTGCTTTTGTTTTTTCTCCATTGTCATGAAGAGGCTTGAGAGGTCCATGCATAAGACGGAGTGATACACCAGTAGCTTTATGTGGCCAAGGTCAGCCCAAGTCACCTGGCATCTGAAAATTACCTAAAGTCATCTATGACCTTTCAGTCAAGAGGAAATGGGTGTAATGCCCCATTATGATATAAAGTTATGGATTAACCTGTCATCTGGCATAAGGCATCCAAATATTTTCTGAGCATGTATCTGTGAGGAGAAAAGATAGAGAAATACTAGCCCACAGAATAAATACCCAACTTTTCAGTCAAGCTCTTTACCAGTATGTTTACAACCATCTCCATTACTCCACAAGGCCACTCAACATTCCATGCAAAAGGACCTCTACTCATCTAACTCTGGTTCTCTGCTTCTCATCTCCAACAATTCATCGTGTAAGCCAACTCAACTCCCCACATTCCTCAAGTTAGAATTAATCTTCCTCTTTTGTGACTCTACAACCTGGTATAATCACGCCTCAAACACAAGTCGGTTTATGGTCACTATGCTATAGAGTCGCTTATATCCTTCCAGGAGATTGTCCATACACCAAACCTTATATCACCAAACAAAATATACTCCATAAAAGTGTGTTAATTTAGCTGAACTGAATGTGAAAACTTACTGGTTTTCCCAGCTGCATTACTCAAGGGCACTTGTAGTCCAGAAAAATTGTAGTCTCTTTGCTAACTGGCCATATGGTACACAATCACAGTTTCTATGAGAATCTCCAGTAAAGAAGGCTAAATTATAATTAACCCTAGAGACCAATTAAACTGAGCTTTATGTCCAAACCACAGAATGTTAAGTCCAGGTGCAAAACAGTATCGCCCTCTAAAAATCTTCAGTATGGTCGCGGTCTAAATAATGTCAGGTTCCAATTTATCCACTTGGTATTAAATGACTTCAGGAGTCTGAGCCCCAGCTACTTATCCAGCCCTCGTTCTTGTCCCCAGTGAGCATCTATTCTACACAATTAGCCTGGCTAGCTCACTTCCTTACAAATCTGCACCATCCATTCAATCGTTGGCTCATTCCATGCTTAACATTTGGAATGCCTCCACTTCTTCCCTTTTTCCTCACCAGGACAGAAGGACTGATAATCAGAGTGGTAACTTTGAGGAATAAAAAATGGACATGTATAGCTCATCCTCATGTCTCCTCTTAGGAATCTACTTGCAAAGATCACATCCTCTACACCTCAATGCTATGATATTTTAGAAACAGGCTTCTATAGCAGAGCCTTTAATTTACCACTTCTGCCTGTCATTGGATAGATGAATCCAATTCTGGGGTATAGTATTAGCATCCCTATTCCTTCTACATTATTTTAAAAGCAATAAAACTGTGTTTGATCTCCATTTGTCTCCTCCTTTGTCTCTGCATCAATTGTTTCCAGCGTTGGACAGGTAGAAGAGGAACTTTGTTTGCTGACCCCTTCAAACCCCAACAAACTAGATTGCAAGCTCCATGAGGGTAAGAACCATACCATATCTGTCCTGCTTTCCTTGTGAGCTTGAACACAAAGCTTGAGGGGCATACTCAACCCTGGTAAAATTGAATATAGAACAAACTCAACAGCAATAGTTTGTTTGTTTGTTTGTTTGTTTGTTTGTTTGTTTGTTTTTTAAGTCACCCTGCTTGGCATGTCTTGCTTCTCTACAGATGCAATGACACAATGCATTTTTTTCTTCAACAAGACTGAAAACACAAAACCAACTCCAACAGGAAGAAAAAAAATTACATGTATCTGGGCACATTGTTCATTTTGATTCATGCCTGCCTTCATATCACAATGTTTCCTGTTCTAAATGACCAGGGATATTTTCAGGCTCCCTTTCTTCAAGAAGGAACAGCACAACAGCATAGTGACAAACTCACCCACTTAAGAGGGTCAGAGACACAGGATACAGAGATACATTTCTTCACTACCAGGTCATCTGCAGCATTGTCTGTGCCCTCTCCTATGTGGAGCTGATCACAGGGGCACATCTTATCTCTATAGCCTTACTTGTACAAACAGGAATTGGAATGGCCTGAGTCCTGGGACCATTAATCCAAACCCTCCCACAAGATATAATGTATGGCCCAATAACAAAGGCATATTTCTGCCTCCCGGTATGATTAGAGGTACGGAAGCATAAGCTTCCGAAAGGTTACACCCCTTAGTCATCTCTCTCAGTCTTTATAACTCTGTGAAAAAATCTGGAACATTACTCAAACTGGGACCTTGTTGTCAAAGGAAATTATTTTAGCACATGCCAGTTACCTTCTAGGAAATCAGGATATTTCTGCTTATGCTGTTTTCTACCCACTGACATTCACTCCCATTTTTTAAAAATGTACTTCCATTCCTCCCACGCCTTTGTGCTGTCCCTATAGCACAGCCTCCTACAGAACCACATCCACCTTAAATACTTCTACCACTCTCAGTAACTGAGTAGCCAACTTAGATATCCATGTAGGGCTGCTAGAACTTTGACAGGCACTGCTCAGAGGAGACCACTGGAGAGCAGAAGCCCATGCACTTACTCCTCTGTCCTGAAAACCACACCCACTCCTCAAAGAGGAAACCCATGAGGGAGCAGCTCTCCCAGGCCATCTGAGGCCAGCACCCAGGACAGACAACGTATCTCCTCCCACGAATGATCTCAACCATCACAGCCTGTGTGGATCTGACCATCAGTCACTGGTGAATGTTGGATAATGACACACATCTTCTCTGGTCAAATCAATCCTTCCTATCCAGGTGGTCCCCTCACTGTGGCCAGGGCTGTCAAAGATCATACACTGTCACTAGAGGCATGAAAAAAAGCACTACATCTTTAGGGTCACTGAAACTAGATATTTGTTTTTCCAGTGACTTATATGGAGTCACTTGATTTCCCCAATAAATTATTCTTTAACTGGTGATCACGTTAAAGAAAACAATATAGGTCACATACTTATGCCAAAGCCAGTTTTCACCCTGCACAGATGTTGGCATCAGGTGGCATCTTAGAAAAACCCTCACTCCTGTCACCGATATTTGTTTTTTTTTTTTCCTATAAAATGTGTTCATAAGACATGATTTTTCAAATAATTTAAGGTACATAAATAGCACTGCTCCCTCCACCTGGGTCCAATAAGAAGAAGCATTAGAGTCTACAAAGATATGTGAAAACTCTCCTAGTCCAAGTACCTTCATTTCTAGCTTATAATCACGCTCATACATACAAGAATGGCAACTTTATTGAGCCAGCCACTCCAGGAGATATTTTACATACATTTCCTCATCTCATAACAATCTCATTGGGTAAATATTTTATTTCCACCTTACTGGACTTGAGGTACAGAGAAGCTAAGTTCCTTGCCAAAAGTCACACAGCTGCTAAGTGATACATCTGGGATCTGAACTCAGAACTCGAATGTTTGTGTTTATGCCATTAAAACTCATGAAAAAGAGGTAGATCCAGGGGAAGGACAATTTTGGCTACATACCTCATATAATTCGATAATGATGTTTCCCATTAGCCCTCGGGTGCTCTTAATGTTCTCCATGGCCAGAGTGAAGTAGATCCCAGTCGTGTCTGAGATGTAGAGGTTGTATGTGTCGTTCTGGTTCCATTCTTGGACGGCTGCAAACACTTGTTTCTCATCAGTACTGATGATGTGCATGTCCTGAAAGAAGATGGAAGGCCCGTAAGGCGGCAGATCTCCATATCTCTCTGCCCACTGGGACTCCGAGTAATTACCACGACTTACGAAAAGCTTGAGTTATAGGCAATGTGAAACAATTCTGTGTCAGACCAAGGCTATAAATTATGGGCTTCACGATCTCTGCTCCTCACTAAGTGACAGCAAGATAGGTGTAAGTGGCTTTGGTTGATACTGTTTTCCATGGCTTCCAAGGACTCATCCACTTTCATTTTTTTTATTTTTATATCTGAAAGTTAGTATTAGGCCAACACAAGCAGACAGCCTTGCAAGAGAAAGCTCGCACATGCAAAGAAGACAGGGCCTATACTGTCTTCAGATCTTCATTTATGCTTTTAAATTTTATGGTGTAGTAGTTTACACATTCTTTTAGAGCCTTCAGAGTCCTGAGGATTGCAAGAAGGGTGCCATGGAGGTATAACCAATGGTTGGGGCTCTGTATTTCCAATCCCAATCACAGCAGCGCAACTTGAATTTGTTGTAACTGGAGTTCTGTGCAATATTTTATAAGTACTTGATAAGGGAGGTTCTGCTTCTCATAAAATAAAATTATATTTAAAAATCAATGATATGAGGAAAGAATACTCAACCTGGAATTTAGTGTTATGAATCACAATATAAGCACTGCTATAAGTCAGCTGCATGATGGTGAATGTGTCAATCTCCTGAACTTCAATTTTCTCACCTAAATAGTGAAAAGGTTGGCCTACCAAGAAAAGTACTTAATATTTAGACACTATTCTATCTCACCTAAATGTATTGTCTCAGCCCCAGTTCAATCCCAAATTTCTTTGTGCTGACTATGCTGAGCAAGATGAGCTCCATCAACATCGGGGCCTCTTGGTGGACCGTCCCTCTGAGACTAAGACAGAGGAGCATGGGATACTGGCCCCTGCACCCCCGCCCGACCCTGGCCCAGCCACCACAGCTTCCCCGGGGCAGAGCAGCGCGAGCAGGAGCGGGCAGTGAGGGAACAGGGGGCAGAGCGGGAACAAGAAATGGAGCAGTGGGACGAACTCCATCAGAGCGTGAATGGGATCCGGACAAAGTTCGAGAAGGTTCCCGTTCTCGATCACGGTCAGTTAACCGCCCCCTCAAGGAACAAGCGAAGTCTAAAGAAAAGAAGAGTGAGAAGAAAGAGAAAGCCCAGGAGGACCCCCTGCCAAGCTGCTGGACTACCTCTTCCGAAAGACCAGCTCCCTGCATCTGTTGGCTCCCACTGACTGACAGCCAGGTTGCCCAGAAGGAGGCAGGGCAGGCTGAACCGGCCAAGGAGCGGGAGAAGTGGCGAAAGGAGCAAGAAGAGCAGAAGGAGTGAGAGAAGGAAGCTGAGAGGGAACGGAACAGACAACTGGAGCGAGAGAAACGTGGGGAGCACAGCAGAGAGAGGGAAAGGGAGCGTGACTGGGGGGACAGAGATCCTGGTAGAGAAAGGGATCAGGAAAGACGCAGGGAGAGGGATTGTAGAGACACCTAGCGCCACAGCAGAAGCCGGAGTCGGAGCACACCTGTGCGGGACCTGGGTGGGCGCTGCTAGCTGGGACAACACCAGGAAAGCTGCAGGTACCGGCCACGCTGCCCCAGGGGGTTACAGGCCACAGAGGGATAGGTATAGTTCCCACCACTCTGGAACCAAGAGTCTTTCACACCACCTGTCCTGTCCCCACATACCAAATGGAACAGTGGCCGCCATTCCCCCCTCCCCCAACACTCACCTTAACCTATCTCTTGGGACTTAGCCCTCTCCTCCCTCTCATTTCCTATTAAGTCTGTGAGAGGCAAGAGCTAGGTTAGGGAAGGAGATGGTTGGCCAGAGGGGAACAGCCAGGTGTCCGAAACCTCTTTCACTTTTCCTCCATCCTGCTCACCACCTCCCCTTGGGTACTCACAGCCTCCTCTTGGGAACAGCCCCGGCCAGAACTGAGTCACCTATGAGCTGAATCAGCATCTCCTCCAGAGTCCCAGGGCCCCTGCAGTTCCCAGTCTCTTCTGTCCTGCAGCCCTCGCCTCTTGCCCTCTGAGTCCCCCGGTTCCACTTTATATCCACCTTTTCCTTTTGTTCAATTTTTATTTTTATTTTTTTTTATTATTAAATGATGTGGTCTGTGGAAAAAAAATAAAAATCTGACTTTTTTAAAAAAATAAATATAATTCTGTGATGGAGGTAGTATAATTATTTTCATTTTACTGAAGAGTAAACTAAGGCACACAGAGGTTTACTGATTTGTTTCAGATCATATAATAAATGGTAGAACCAGGGATTGAACCTCTGGAGTCTAATGCTAACTGAATGGTTAGTTTCTATTCATTTGGATATATAGTCTTTAAATAGGGATTTCAAACTGATGACTCATGAAGTAAATACAGGTCACAGATGTTTAGTATGACCACATCCTGTATGAAAAATTTGAATCTCTGGTCTTTTAGATGGAGTCAGCATCCTACTGACTCCAGTCAGTCTCAGACCTCCCCTCCATATCCATGTGTTCTTATGATCTACCACTTACATACTGATATTAAATTCCTGGTGCCTAAAGTCATTTTAGTTCTAATCCTGGGTTGGATCTTTTCTAAAATCAAATCTAGTAGTTCACAATTCAAAATAATTTACAAAACTATGTGACTAGGCACTCTACAAAGATTACCACACATTGAAGCTCTTATGATGGGAACTTACACTGTCAGGAGAACATGCTGACATGGATAAACATTTGTCAAAAATGAGATAGTTTTAAAATGCATGAAGAGATTGGCATATATGCCAAACAGTAATAGATAGCAAAGGAAAGACACCCTTGTCACCAGGGTGTCACCAGGGTGTAAACCACCTGCTATAGAACCATGGGCAATTGGAGCTGACAGTAAGTTAATAATCAGGAAGGGCCCAGCCTTTATTTGAGCAACCTTCCCCAGAAACCATTTCAAGTAAAAAGAGACAGCAATGTCTATAATGTCAGGACCACGGAGAGTTCCTCCAAGATGACTTACAAAGGAGCAAGCCCATTTGATTTGGACAACCTGGAAGTGGGAGAAGTAGGAAAGCAAGTTCTCGGTCTTTTCATTGAAGATTCTTTGTCAAATATCAGCCTCTGGCCTTGAACTCTCTAGGTCACCTTGACTAAGACCTCACTTGCTCGTTTGTGCTTACACACCTTGTAGAATTACAGGTTCCTGCTGAGCTGCTTCAAAACGGAAAGAAAGCTCACTCTTGAAAACCATGTGAAGAAATCACATTGTGTTGGTGTGGAATGAATGCCCAAGAACCCAGTAGGGGGGGAAATAGCAGCTGTAGGAAATCCAAATTAAATTCACTTACCCTGTTAAAAATGCAATAGAAATGCTGGGTTTTCCCCAGATGTTTTGGCCATAAAAATGAATGAGCTAAGTTGTTTTAGACTAAACTAATGTAAAAGAGGTGAGGGAAAAACAAATTAAAACACTGGGGCATGGTCAGCATTAGAGACAGCCAGATTTGCTGTGGGTACATATGAGGTTAATGCTGTCCTGAGGCTGTGTCACCTGGTGAACAGGTACTCCAGGCTCTGGAGCAAGAGACTTCTCTTGAGTATCTAGGATTCTGGATGTGTGCTTGAGAAGTCCTTAATTTGCCAAAGTCCCTCGGCTAATAAATGACATTACTAAGATTTAAATTTAAGACTTAATCTTACTTTAAACCAAATCTTAATCAAGAAGCCAACATTTAAAACACCATGGCAGTGGGACTATAATTTTGGTGTGCATCAAAATGACCTGGAGGTCTTACTAGCATACAGACTCCATGGTCCTCACTGCCTGAGATAATGACTCAGCACGTTTGGTGCAGAGCCTTAGGTATTACTGTCTGGACAAGCCTCCACATGACTCTGGTGCATCTACATCTGGGGGATCATGCTTTGAAACATGCTGAACTATGTGACCTCTCTCCAAATAGGTCTAATGGTGGAAGAGGGATAAACCAATAACAATCAGAAAATGAAGTCTTCAAGAATGAAGAAGAAAAGCAGTATTAGTTAAAATTGGTCCAATAGGGAGCTGGCTGATAATGAAGCTTATTTCTTGAATCTGGCTACTTCATTCTGACTCCAAAGCACGTGTCACTTGCTTACTTGCTGGTCTTCAAAACATACAGGGAGAAATTTGTTGATGAAGAGAGAATTCAAAAGAAGGAAAATACAATGCATGTAAATTCAGATTGTGACTTTACAAGTGGAATTTGAAGAATGTCAGACTAAACCCACATACATGTTTTTATTTGGAAAAAAAATCATAAATAAGATTCCCCCTTTGCTCTACAAGACAATAATTTGGGAGAGTCATGATTGCTTTTTGAAAACCCAAACCTTTGACTTGCTAGGTGAGCAATGGTGAAAATACCTCACAGTTATTGATGAATTTTCTTATAATCTAGGCCTAATGTAACTTTATTCATTGTATAAACACCTATATTATTAAGCATTTTTCAGGTGCCAGATACCACAATATACACAGTGAAAGAAAGTGCAGAACCTACCCTCAAAAAGATGCCCCAATTGATAGAGACTTCACTTACTCTTGTAGCCTTTCTTAAACTTGACTAAATGCTATAGTCAAGGAACTAAAAATGGTGATGGGAGTACAAAGGCTTACAGGTGAAAGAGAAAATAGAATAGTCAAGAAAGAAAATGCATAGAACTTGGTATAGCTCAAAAACAATTTTCGTCTGAAGGAAGTGAGGACAGAGACTGGCTTATATCACAACGGGTTCTGCATGGCACAACACCTAACTTTTACCTAAAAGGTAGCACAAAGCTATCACAAGTTATCAAGTAGGATAAATGAATGATTAGAGTTGATCAATGCAGAGATTTGGCTGGAGAAGATGGAGTGCTTTGCATGATCATATTCACTGGGGAAGCAGTGCAAAGAGGGGATTTACATGGGGCCATAGTAGAGGCAGGGGAAAAGGCTTAAAAGGTCACTGCAACAATCTAGATCATGACTCATAAAAACATGACCTAAGGAAGTATGATCTCTATGAGGTCACTAGGGGATAGACTGGCATATTAAGTAGATAAATCTACAGGGATAAGTAAGAAGGATTTATGTCTCAGATATTTGACTTTTTTTTTCAGACATGAGGCTTGCTCTGATGCCCTGGCTAGCATTCAATGGCATCATCATAGCTCACAGCAACCTCAAACTCCTAGACTTAAGTGATCCTCTTGTCTCAGCATCTCAGAGTAGCTGGGACTACAGGTGCATGCCACCACACCCAGCTAATTTTTCTATTTTTTTGTAGAGATTAGGGCGAGGGCAGGGACGGGGGTGTGTCTTGCTCTTGCTCAGGCTGGCCTGGAACTCCTCAGGTCAAGCGATCCTCCCACCTCGAACTCCCAGAGTGTAAGGATTACAGGTTTGAGCCACCATGCCCAGCCGGATATTTGACTTCTAAAACTCTGCTTTTCCTTTACAGCACTCATTGCAATCATAATGAAATAATCACTTGTGTAATTATTTGTTTGGTATCTGTTTTACTAATTATTAACACCCCAAAAAGCAGAAACTATGTCTCTCTTATTTATCACTTTATCTGTAATGCCAACCAGAGTATCTGGCACATGGTAGACTCCAATGAGAGTTTATTGAATAAACGGAGTACAGAAGAAAACATACAAGAAGGATGACATATATGAGATATAAGAGGACTTCAGTTCTATAATGGCTAAATGGATGTTTAAGAGGATGTACTTCAAATAGGCAGCTGGATAAGTGGTCTGGAGCTCAATGGAGCCATATGGGCTGGGACTAGGAATATAGGTGTCAACAATACCCCTCGCCAAAAAAAGGAATGAAGCTACCCAGGGACCATGCAGAATGCAAAAAGAACTTAGGGACACTAATGTTTGAAAAGTAGCAAGAGAAGGAGTATGCAGAAGAGTAAATCAGAATAAAATACTATCAAACAGAAAAGTTTCAAGTATGGATTTTTTTTTTTGCCACCTGCATCAAATGTTACAAAGTGGTAAAAAAAAATGTAGAGATGTCTATTGAATTTGGCATGTAGGTGGTCACTGTGACAGTGGCTAGAGTGGACAGATGGATTCAAGGCAAGAAGACAAGTAGCAGTGGGTTGACGAGTGAATAAGAAGTGAGAAAAGACATTAGAATTTCAAACAACTCTTAAAGAAGTGTGGCTGTGACACAGCAGAGAAGAATAAATCTGTAATTGGGGAAATGTAAAAACTATGGAAATAAAAGGTTAATATCATTGTCATTATGATTATAATGAATTTTCTAGGACATATTTCCCCTCTCCTCTCTTTTATTATCCAAAATGGGATTAACCACATTCTACTGTCAAATAAAAAAAAAAATGAACCCAGATGTAGGTAAGGAGAGATGTTATTTGAAAAGACAATTGCAAGGAGAACACTCTGACCATAATATCTGCAAGCATCTCAGAGCAAAGGTAGAAAAAAAAATTACTTCTACAGGGAAAAGTAAAATAAGGCTAGAAAGAACTGGGTGTGGGGTGTAGGGTGAGCAGGTAGCATGATCGAGATATTGAGCAGGAAATTATTTCCTTTAAGGTCAGCTGATTCTCAGAGGGTTCTTTGTTGAAATGTTTGCTTAAGCTCTCACAGCTTACAGAAGCTTAAAAGTGGGTCAAAGTTCAGAGGCTTGGGGAAGGAGAAAGGTGGTTTTAAGTTTGGTCAATTCAAATTAACAGGCATTTTGTCCAGATTGGTCAGTAGGACAACAGTTCAGCTAATCATTTATGTGAAAAAGAATGGAAATCTGGTCTTGTTGCAGGTAAACAAGGTGGACATCTCAGTCTTATCAAGTCACGTGGTGGGGTGAGGGTTGCAGTGTGCCATTTCCCAAACACAGAAGGGCAGGAAATTTCTTAACCTTGCCTGTTTTCCAGGAGCACGGGGCTCAGGCAAAGATCAACACTGTCATTACCAATCTGAATCCCTTACAGAAACAAACAAACAAACAAAAAACCCAAAAATTTTTCTCTTGTATAACTGATTTATTAGAGTAGTAAGTTAAGAATAAATCCATAATCTAAGAGGTGAAAGAGGGGATAGCAGACTCAGTGTAGAGTGGGGGCCTTAGGCAATATTGAGTCCAAAGGCAAGGCTGAGATGGGATCCCATCATGAACACTGATCTTCCAACCTGGCAGGTTAAGAGCCTCGGTATCATTCTCCCCTGGATTAAAATTGTTTCTTAAATTTGTTAACAATAAGCCATTCATTTAATCCTCATGACTTTGCCGAATGGTATTGTTATCCTCGTTTCACAGATAGGAAGACCTAGGCTCATAGATAAGTAGGTGGCAGAGCTGCAATGAAAGTTCAGGGTTTCTGCTCAGATCATTTGTCCTTTCTATATGGGACCTGCTCTCTCTCACCTGGCTCCATTCCCTCTGCTGGTTTGAGCTTTTCATGCCTATGGGACTAAGAAAGCCAACACGATGCCCAGGGACTGAGTTATGGAGAGCTCAGCACAGGCTGCTACTCCTAATAATTCTGCTCATTATTAATGGCACTCATTTCATTCTCTGCAAAACACTCCAAAGCCATGGAGTGCCCCAGGAGAGCATATTCTGAGCAGATATGCTGGGAACAGAGGCGCAAGGGCAATGATGACAGGGAGCTTTTCCAGGCTTTTGTTTTTAAGCAAGCAGCCTAAAAGCAGCCACGGCACCTCATGGAACAGCAATGACTTGCTTAAAAGCCATTTCCATTTTTAAACAATGGAGAGAATCAATCTCCCTCCACTCCCTCTGTCCCCACCTCTTCAGCCTTGACTAGGAAAACCTGGGTCAACAGCGGCTAATAAAGGGGATCGATAACCATCCAGCTATTTTCACAGCAGCCCTCATATTAATGAGAAGCTGCTCTGGATGGAGTTCTATGAAAAGGGGCTGTATGGATGGTACTCCACCACAATAAACTGCCATGGGGCTGCTAATCATTCACGGAGTGTACTAGGGTTGTGATCAATTCAGGACCTCATCTGGCCCCACCTGCAGCCACCCTATCCAGGGGAGCAAACTGTTTTCCTGAGAAGGTTAAAAATACATAAAATATGCACATTCAGAGACAAAATAAGCCTTCCACTGCAGAGAAGGTTCCCTAAACTCATTTAGAGACTTAGAGATGTGGAGATCTTCAGTTTCCTGTAAGGGACCATTCTCCTTTAGAAAGAGCATAATTATGAATTTCCCCTTCTAATCTTCTCCAAGCTGAGATTCTTCTTTCCTCCTTGGGTTGAGAATATCTGATGGGTACATCCTGCATCCACAGTACCACACAACAGCCCCGTAAATGCCAATCACTGAGAGGGTAGAGAAAATGAGAAATTGGTTCCCAGGGCCTCTGAGGCTACTTAATATTGTCTCTGCCCTCCTCATCAAACTTTCTACCTCTCTCTCTGCAGCCCAGTCTCTCAAGATGTCAAGACAGTCTTTCAGTCTGTTGAATGAGCTGTGCTTGCTCTTAAAACAGAGTCTGTGTCTGCATTTTCTATCAGCTTCTCCCCACCCTTGTTTGCAGGGTTAATTTTTTATCCTTCTTATATCAGCTTGAACATCATTTTCTCTAGGAAACTACCCTTAATATCCATCTACCCACATTTGAGTAACTCCACTTTTTATGCCAAAATCACCCTTAAACTTCTATAACATTCCCACACTTCCAATTCCTTGTTTAGCATTTCTAGCAGAATATAAGGTCCATGAATGCAGAGACCACTTGTGTCTTATTCACTCCTCTATACACAGAGTTTAGCTCAGTGCATGGCACAGAGTATAAATTTAAATGGAAGAAAGAATAGTTGAATGGATGCATTAAAAAAGAAACAAATGTATGAATGAACACATGCATGCATAAAATATTGAACGAATAAAAACAATTTCAGGGTAGAAAATTATCTATTTTATCATGTCATAATTTCTCCCACCTCTGTACTCATTTAGCCTTTCAAAATTTGTTTCTTAGCACTGGCTCAGAGACCCAAGTCTTTGCAACATTACAGTTGATACGTGTCCAACGTGAGACTTGGCTTCTTTGTAGCCTCATTAAGTGATGCAGCTATATCCTGTCCATGTTCACACTGAGGTTCTAAGGTCCATCCCCCCCTAGAAGCCAACGCTCACAGGCAATAGGGTCTACATAATAAGTTTTACGATTTTCCAATAGAAGAGTTAAAATGCCATTATTTGACATTAACATTCTATTAAATTATCCATTTTTAATTACTCATGGTGGCAGGAAGGAGTGGAAACATGGGAAGTACATTTATATTTGGCTTTAAAATGAATAAAGAAGCAAGAAAACCACCAGACTTATCTGTGCAGTTTTATGCACACACTCATGTGGCATCTGTGATTCTGCCTGAGCTTGGCCTTGTATTTGGCAATAAGGCCTTTGCAAAAGGGAGGAGCCCTTAGAAGACATTCCAAAGCTAATGCTCCTTTCACTATTGGCACCTGGGAAATGACCTAAGGTTACACCAGATGTCTGAGTCACAAGAAATCAAAGATCTTGCCTAGTACCTTGCTGAGAGAGTAATACAGAACCTGGGTTCAGTGACCTCAGCAGAGGCCAATCCGTTCAGTGGTAAGTCAGGCTGAATGCCAGCAGTCCTCTGGCTGGAAGGCCAAAACCTTCCAGCAGCCTGACAAGTCAGCCTCTCCAACCCTCCCTTTGCCTGGGAGGACCCAGGACAACTGGTGGTGCATGCGGTACCTTCGGCAATGAGTACTTGGGCAGCTTTATCTGAGCAAAGGCCTCTCTTCGATAAGACACGTAGTAGCTGGCTCTTCCACCTGTTGTTACCTAGATGGGGGGGAAAATACAAAGAGGTCAGATGGGGCCACAGATCATGGTCCAAGTTGTAGAGTATTAGCCTTTCCATCATCAACCACAACCAGTTTCTAATTACCTTTCAGAAAATATCTTTTGGTGGCTTTGAGTCTCTAATCCCATGGCATCCTGAGTTGCCCCATGTCATGGTACATAGACAATAAGTGGCCAATTACACCAATCCTCCCCATGGGCTGACATTCTCCACAAGAGCAGTTACTGGCTCTGCATCTGGTCACTGTGCTCTGCATAGGGTACACACCTCATAAATATTTTCAACTAAAAATAGAAAAGCTATCAGCATGGGCTACACCCATGATCTATTTATCCTGGCTTTCTTTTTTAACAGTTTATATAATCCATTCCAATCATAACACAGTTGTCAAAGGTATTTTTTATACATTTGAATAATAACTATTGCTCAAATCCCCCATTACTTTGAAATTTAATATCACTTCTGATCTAAGCAGAAATTTCCTTCCTTCATATTTACAAATCCATGCATTGAGCAGATATTTATTGATTCTTTCCATATGCAAGTTACTTAAAGCCATCAAAGGTCAAAGGAAGAACTCCAGATATGAAATTCAGAAATCCTAGGTTTGAGTCCCAGCTCTCTTATGTCATGGCTAGGTTTGGGGACAAGTCCCGTAACCTCACTTGGGAAAGGATGGCTTCTTAGTTAGAGGAAAGTAGAAACCACTCCAAGAAATAGTCCTCTGGCCTGAGCTTGCTGAAAAGTCCTGCCAACATGGCAGAGCTCTGCAGATGGCCGCTCTTAGACCAATTATCCCAACTCAGGGGAAATTAATATTCACAGGAGAAGATAACATGGCCTGTTCAGAGAAAATAGCAGGAAAACAATAGCAACCAGGCTGCTGTGGTGAGGAGGCAATTACTCGAGGCACATGCTCCGTTCTCACTAAGGTCCAAGCACGTGCTGGAGGCAGGCCAGTCCTCCCACTCTGGTCCAAACCTGGCACCCATCCACAGTGCCTGCTGGGAGCAGAAGGGTGTAACAACTCTGTTGAAGCTGCTCATGCCTCCTCACTCTGAGAGACGGCATCTCCCATGGCTCCCCCTTGCTCTGCACAGATTGGAAGCCCACAAAGCAGGCTCCACAAGCTGCCAGGTGCAGCAGATGTCAGAGAAAGCACGAAGGCAAAGCCTTGGAAAACACTTGGTGCAAAGGCTTAAACTGTGAACCAAGAGCAGAGATTGGTTTTACTCCCTGATGCTCAGAGAGAAACATTTCTTATCACAATCATTCTTGTCTTGTATCTCATGACATTTTAAAGTTTTTATTTTGTAAAGACATCTGTTCCGAACCTATATTGTTCTCTGTTGGCTTAGGGTGGGTGTTGCATATTAAGATCAATGGGTTGCTGAGAAGTTATTATGTGTGTGTGTGTGTGTGGGTTTTTTTTTTTTTCCTTTTGAAAATAGGTCTGAAATGCATAGGACCAGGTTAAAATATCATCCTTGGATCTGGACACAACAGTCACCATCAGTAACTTTGCATGATCCTATTTATTTGTTCAATTTGGTTTTATATTTAATTGTAAAACCAACACATGTAAATGTACCTGACAACCCAAGAACTAGATCAATAGTTTTTACACTTTAGCATGCCTCAGAATCACCTGGAAAGCCTAAAACTCAGACTGCTGGGGCCCATCTGCAGAGTCTCTGATGCAATAGATCATGGTGGGGAATCAAGAATTTTCTTTTCTCATAAGTTTCCAGGCACTGCTGATGTTGCTGGTTTGGGGATTATACACTGAACATCACAGAACTAGACCTTTAACAACTCACAAACACCTCTGTGCTCCTCACCTGTCCTGACCTCCTTCCCACATGTAGCTACTTTCCTAAATTCTGTGTTTACAATGATAAAGTTTTTTTTTAATTTAGGTGACATTCACATAATCCAACCTAAACCATTTTAAAGTACACAATTCACTGGGATTTAGTACATTCACAGTGTGGTCCAGCCATTCCCTACACTTAGTTCTAAAATATTTTCATCACCCCGAAAGGAGATCCCACACCCTAATGATAAAGTTTTTCAACCCCAAAATATACCCTCCAGTAACCAACCATATGCTTAAAACTCATCTCTTTACAGGTACCCTGAAGTTCACCAAACGTGCCCTTGAGAAAATAGACCAGCATCTGACAAGTCCCATCTCTGAGCGCTGGCCAGAGCTCATTGATTAAAAGAAGCTTCCTCCCGGAAGACTGAGCCACCTCTACAAGGAACAAGATGGTAGCACCACCAGGCCTCCTATCAGCACCACAGGAAAGGCTGGGCCCACTGGGGTTTCCAAATCACCAACGGGCAAAGGAAAATAGAGTGGTCCCTTTGATGGGGTGATTGGCCTCACAGCCTTGGGAAGTCACCCACCCATGTCCCCAGATACCTGTGCAATCACAGACACACACACACACTCTCTTTATCTCTCTCACATGTGCGCACACACACACAAAGGCTCACACATACAACATGAAAGAGTTTGTACTTGAGTAAATAATGAAAATAGAAATTATACTTGAAATGCACTGTGGAATGGTCTGAAATATGAAGGGGCCACATGAAGACCAAGAAGCCCAGGGCTTCTCCAAGAACCTCTGACAACATAGTATCTCCCAGAGATATCAAGCTTGCTCCTGTCATTATTCCTTTGTACTTACTGTGTCCTTCTCTGTACTTGTCAAAATCCAGTTGGTGCTTTAAACCTCAGTATAATTCCTGTGAGGTCATGGTAGGGTTTTTGGATGCTAACAATTCATTGCAATTTTGTAATCACATCCAGCTCAACTTTTAGGTAACATAAAAGTTGTGAGTTGTTTTTCAGTTGCCATGGACTCCCAAGTTGAAGGTCATGTAACCTGAGCATGCCTAGATGAACCAAGCATGCAGCCATGGGCAGAACCTAAGTGCTTGGACTGAGGAGTGGGGACTTAATTAAGAAGCAGACTCCACATGGCAGGATCCAGGATCTAATCAGATTGAGCCCTGGCGTCATTCCATTGCAGGGTCCAGTCACAGTATATTTCCTGGCATCATCCCATTGCAAGATTCTATCAGATCACACCTCTTTACCCTCTGACTATAAAACCAGCCCAAACCCCTTGTTCAGGGACACACTGCTTTGGGAACTGTCCCCAGTGTGCTTCCTACTTGTGCTGAGTAATCAAACTCCTTGCTATAATCCCTTGGCTGTGGCTATTGGCCTGATGACCACCAAGTGAACAAACACCTCTGTTTGGGAGATAACTTCTCCCATCTCTCAACTCCTGAACTTTGTTCTTTTCTTTTCACTTCTATAGCACTCTCAACATTTACTCTTTTTTCTTTTTTTTCTTTTTTTTTTTTTTTTAGTACTTTGAGTTGCTGTTTCAAACATTTACTCTTGTGGCACACATGTTGTTATAACTATTCTTCCATGTCATATTACAAAGTTGTCACCTCCTTAATTCCGAGACAATGCTTGTTCTATGGTTTGAATGTTTGTGTCCCCTCCAAAATTCATGTTGAAATGTAATGCTCAATGCAACAATATTAAGAGGTGGGGCCTTTGAGGAGGCGATCAGGCTGTGAGGGTTATGCCCCTATAAAGGGATCAGTGCTTTATAAAAGGGCTGGAGGGAACCAGCTGGGCTGCCTTTTTTCCCTTTTATCCCTTATGCCATGTGAGGACCCAGTGTTCAAGGCACTATCTTAGAGACCAGGTGCTCACCAGACACTGAACCTGCTGGACTTGATCTTGGACTTTTCAGTCTCTAGAATTACACAAAATAAATGATCTATTCTAAGATATTTTGTTACAGCAGCAGAAAGGGACTAAGATAGCTGGTCTTCTGGTAGATGATCCAAGGACATATAATAAAAATAATGATAAAACCGTCATTAATTGAGCTCATCTACCAGGCTCCAGAACTGCACATAGCCCTTATAAAATGAGCTCGTTTAATCCCCATGACACCCCTACAGAGGCTGTAAGGCTCTGAGTGACTTGCCCAAGACAGAACAAATTTGAACCTCAGAAAGTTTGACTCTAAACCTGTGCTTTTCCTCCTGTGACTAAGAAAAGTCCTCTGTCCATCTTTCTCATCTCACTGTAACAACACAGTATATTTCCCTGATTCCAACACCTTTTACAAAAATTAAAGATTTCTGTAATTGGCATGTGTGCATATGGTTATGTTTCTTTGCATTCACAGAAAATGTTACAACATTCATGTTGAATTTTTAAAATGATACCTTCTTAGAAGAGAAGAGATGAGGTCATAACAACAAGAGTATTAATAATAACTACCATACAAAAGATATTTCATTACAGGTCAGAAAATTGAAGCTGAGAAATATCGCAACTTTTTACCATCACAGCCAGAATGTGAACCTGAGCTTTCCAACTCCAGCCTATGACTCAATTCTCAGAAGTGAGCACAGAGTCAGGGCAGAGCAGGGGGTCCATGCTGACTTTCTGAATTGATGTATTGTTGGGATTAATCTGCTCAACCAGGGAGATGCTGAGTTTGGTTTCCTCCATTGGCCCGTGACTAAACCATGGGTGTGAGGTGAAGAACTCTCCATTCCTGCCCAGTTCCTGACGGCCAAAGAAACTTCTTTCCAAATAGAATCACTAGCACACCCCCTCAAGAGCAGAGTCCTCACTGTATTAGGGCTATACCAGGCTGATGCATTTACTGCTTCTCCATGATTGTGCAGCTCTCTGGCACGCAAGAAAGGAATAAAGTTTAGCGACTATTAATCTATTTTGATGAACTTTTCTCTTCCTTACAAGCAAATTTGCTGGCATTGTAAATCCCAGAGATTATTACCACTTTCCCTTTCAGTGACACCTTTTATTTTACATTTGATGAATGTCATCCAATTATTTGCTCTGGGCCCATCCGTCACGCTAAACACAGAATTAGCTGGGTCTTTTCCTTACTAATGACTGGCT